TCACTTAAAAACTATGTTTAATTTAGTCTGAATCTCAACATTGCCTGACACATAGATGTAAAAACATTCTATAATTAATTATAGCTATGAGTTTGCTAGACGTCACGTTCTTCCTTCCGCTTAGCAAAAGGAAATATTGAAGAATTTGTTTTTCATTTATAGAATAATTAGTCAAAAGAGGCAGTTTTTCAATTTTTTCTGTTAAAATCCTATATAAATCAAAAGCTTAATTATACTTAAAGTATACGAAAAATATCAAAATTCATATTATATCTAAACAAAGAAGATTTAGAGAAGAATTTCCGTTCACACTTAATAATAGTACTGATAATGTTGTATATTTATCTATTCCATGATTATTTTTGCATTGAGATTACAATATTAAAAATATTCGAATGGATGCTGTGTACTCTTATTTTTTTTCGGTAAATAACGAATTTTGTGGTTTTCATATTGAATGATATTCTTTTTACAATTGTCAATCTTCATTATGCAATACAATTAAAAAAACGATCAAACTTTTTTCATAAAAATGACGAATTTATCAACAGAAGCATATATTGTCCGATCTGTAACAGATATGTTATCCTGTACCAATCTTGAAACACCTGATCCCATGCTCATCCATTATATAGAATGATAATGAGTGTTTGATTACTACTATGATATAATAAATCATTGGAAATTCCTTGTGAACTAGTGACTAGTGTAGACAAAAATTTTAATCAAGACAATCTAACTCCACCTTCAAGACAATTTGAAAATTGCTTCCGACTAGCTTGTGTAGTTCTTTGTTGTGTTAATTGTTAATGAGAATATCTCTCTGATGACTTTTTTCTTGCAATTTATTTATGAATTCATAAAGTAGTCTATTTTTGTTCATTACTTAACATATGAAGAATAAAGTTATTACTATGTAAAAGTAAAAGTAATTGAATTTTTTTAGTGATGTAACGCCGACATTTATTTGAGGAATATTCTTCGTGATAACTTCTACTCGGAATAATATTATTTTCAGAACTCGAAGTTTGGCTTCGACTTTGAAAAATTTTTTTTGCTGCCTCCGCCAGAGTCAGGTTTTGAAGTACGATGAAACACTCTATTGTCAACATATCAGTAAGCCAAGACTAGAATCTCCTACAGATGCTGTAAACGTTCATCACGGCAATACAAAATCATATGGCCACAATGACATTCATAGTTATTTCAAATAAAAAATGTGTAACAAACTTTTTGATAATCATTGGGTTTTTTTGAACGTGTCAATATCCTAATTTTGGTTCCTGAATCTATTCAAACAAAGTCTAACCGAGGAACATAACTCAAAATGCTTAAAATATGCTATAAACACGATATTTCATTAATTTAGTAAAGAGGATTGTAAAAAAACTTTTTATAGTTGACTTGCAGGAACGTCATTGTGTAAACTTCGACGAAAAAAAAGCATACAATTTTCAATATATTCTTCAAGATCAAGACGATATAGATAATACTCAGAATTAGTCTGTGTTTGTATATGTTATTTGCAACTGTTGATAGTTATATTACAAAATAATTTACAAATATACTGTTAAATAAAAATTATGTCAAACTAATAGTGTAGTATTATTTATTTCATGAACTATATAATTAGTTGTGTATTAAGATTGTTGTAGATCTTATTTGAGAGAACATTTATTAAAAGTATCTTTTGAACTGTAAACACTTTAGAAACAAATCATAATAATAAATAGTTTTCGTATACAAGAGTATTCGTCTAAGTTCTTTCCTTTTATTTCATACTTAGTTTATTGTTAATACTTGACAGCATCTACTATAGTGATGTTGTTGATCTCAATATGAAAGCACGATTTATAATTTGTTTTTATTATTTTTCGCAGCGAACTGTAAACAAGAACTTCTCAATATTGGCAACTAAATTTTTTTGCTTGAAAACATACTCATAAAAGACGACTACATACGATTATGATAACCATTTTTCAGTCAAGAAACAATGAGAAAATCGAAGAACTCAATCTGAGCTAATCAGTATTCTTTCTCGATATCACAGAATTCATTTATTAAATTTATGAAACGAACAAGAATGCAATCGATTTTATCAAAAACGATTTTTAATCCACAAGAAAACATTAGGCAATTTGAAGAACGACAGAGAACACGTTCTTTTTTTTTGATGAGTAATATTAGGATCTTCTTGAATGTGTTCATTAGTTCGAAGAATCTATCATAGGTATTCCACTAGAGAACATCAAAGAAACTGATTTAGTTCGAAGAGAAACCTATTTTGATCGTTCGAAAAAGAGATCGAAAGAAAATCCGTTCCATTAGTTCATGGAACGATTTAGAAAGTTTTTAGATGCACAACATATTATTATCGATTTAAAATACATTCGTCACACTATAGAATGTGTTCTCTGCAGACAAGAGAGTTTTCCAGGTTTTGTTGAATGTGTTGATTCCAGTTTTATTCTATGAACATTATTCACTAGGATGATTTTTGTATTATAAAAATTACAAATACATCGTAGTTAGCAACTACTGTATAGTTGTAAAAAGTTTAAACTGTTTCTTCGTCTTTTTATCGATCTAAAACATGAAATTTCGGAATAAAACAATAAAGTCTTCTGTCGTAATTATGCATGAATATCAAACAAAAATGAGCGAGTTCAGTAGGACTTGTTTTTCATGTACCAATAGTTTCAATAGTTATGGCATGCCTGTGACGATAACGAGGATATAGAAGAAAGAAAGAACAATATATTGTTTAGAAATGTGAAGACAGCTCGATTCATCATAGTCCAAATGATAGACGATCGATAAAGTAAACTGAATTACACAATAACTCCGAGAACGATCGTCTGAGACAATGCCGGCTCTATCATCACTTAGTACACTTCAAGAAGAAGAATTCGTTGATCAATTGTTCAATTTATATGAGTTAATATGGGAAAGAACTTCATATAATGAAGAGGACGAATCAATATTTGAACCATAGCATATCGGACAAAGAAATCAAAGAGCACAAGAAAGATTCTAATCATACATGTTATAATAGAAACTTGAATGATTGGAAAGTTGAAGTTTGAAGTATTATAGTATTGATTGATGAGGTACTAGTCCTTAATTTCACACCCATTAGCAATAATTTATAGTATATCCTAACAACTGGAAATGCTATGAAATCTTTAGATACATCTCTACACTGAGGCGTAGAGTAACTCAATAGTTGAACAGCTAATGCTTGAATGTTTGAACTTCAAGTATCCAATACTACAGAGCGATTTCACAGTAAATAAATTCACGCTTGAGTTATTACACTACTGACAGTGACACATGGTAAACTACAAGATTAAGAGGAAAATTTTGGAAATTTTTCTCCCAAAATTCTTATTATTTCGAGTTGAAACTTTTAGATAATCAAAACTCTAACTTTGAATAGATACATCGAACATTTCAATCCACTTTGTTTTTGCTTCATCCAGCAAACTAAGATTTAGCAACAAAATTGGCAATAACACTTATAATGTCGAAATTTTGCAACTCTCACTACAAGCAAATTGCCAGCAAATCAACTTGGAGTAAATCATTGCCAACTATCTTCTATCAAACCTTTATATTCTCAGCTGAAAAGATTTCCAACCCTTTATGAAATTCTCAGACAAAAAAAAAGTAATACTCATACTTCAATGCTTTTTCTGTTTGTGTTCATTGTTCTTTTTACGATATTTTATACGCTGGTCTGGAAGTTGTAAAACAAATACATTCGTCAATAAAAAATTAGTCATGAATGAATATATTAAGTGGCAATGTACGGTTTTATGTGAACCTAGACAAGAATGAAAAAAGAACGGCTAGATGAATGATTGTTATTTTTTGATATGTCAGTAAGTAATACATAAAGTCTTCAATTGTTTATTATAACCATAGTTTCACTATCAATTTCGCTATTTTTTTTCTTTTTTTTTTGTTATTTGATGATATTTTGTAAGAAAACTTGTTTTTCTATGTTTTTCTATTAATGTTATTCTAACATTTTTGAATAGTCTCGCTTCATACTTTGATGCTTTATAAATATCAAATTGTCGATCTTAATCAAATGATAGAACATACTATTCACAAATAAGCCAAATAGTTTGTATATATGATCAATTAATCGTAAACTGAACAATTGTTTATTCATGAAATAATTGATAATGTACTAAGAAAATCGAAATAGCGCGACAAGAAATGCATCATAATTCAACTGAACGATTCTGTCATAAATCAAACGCAATTCCTTTCTTATCTCAATCCTTAAATTCTTCTAATCAACAGAAAGAATGTTCTGAAAATTTACTTGAAAATATACTCTTGCAAATGAATGGCTGTAGAATGTTAACTACTCAAATATATAACAATTCCGCATGTATCAATAATCATAACTTACAACAACAAACCATAGAAGATATTCTAAAAATATTAATTGATTTTCTTGGTGAATTTTTAGTTTTTCTTTCATCAGTTATTCAATATGAACAATTTTATACTCAATTTCAACTTAAAAAAATAGTAGATGTTGCTGAATTGATCCATCAATTTCGTTTAATATTACAAATTCAGATAAATAATACCTATGAACATATGACAAATTCTCCTATTCTGGATATTTCATCCGTCTCTTCAATTCTTCATGAAATTGCCTCTTTCATTCATTATTTAGGCCAAGAACAACAAGAAAATACAACTATGATTAATCGTCCACAGACAACCATGTTTATACAATTACTAGATCGTTTAGAAAAAATGATCAAATCTTGTATGGACTGTACCAATATGAATAACAATTCAAATGTAGGTTAGCAACATTTTTGCATTTGACGGTTTCATTGAATAGAATTACTTCAAAAACTTTAGATTTTGCACAGCCATTATTCGACATGTATTCCTGTATGAATTCTTCTCATATTATTGAAAATCCAACCTTGTTCACCGAATGCTTATTAACATACAATGAATCCAACATGTGTATACCATGGCCAATTTTAGAACCACTGCAAAATTCAAACGAAAAGTTTAATAGTGTCGGATTGATTTATGGAATAAAAGATGAAAATGTTCGTCGAAATTTAGGTTATGATATCGAAGAACATAAATCATTGAATAGCAACAAACGAGCATTTCGAAACATGTTAAAACAACAATACAAACAAAATAATCTTTTAAGTGAAGAAGTTAAATTCGATCGTAATCGACAAAAGACAGCAAGTTCTACTAATAATCGAACACCAATAGTACAACAAATATCAGTTACTTCTCCTAAAGCAAATCTTAAAACTGTTGAATACAAAGGTAGTTTATATTCGGATCTGTTTAAAAAATAATTACAATATTATCTATGTCATTCAATGCAGATTTCAATAATAAAAATCAAAGAATATCTGTAAATTCTATAAAAGCTGAAGATCAAAATGCACCAACAAACAGACTTGGTGGTAATCGTACAATATCACGACAGTCGTCTATTGTCAATTCAAAACGGTCGTCAACCTTCTCGAGTGGTAACTCCAATATTGGTAAACCTATTAGACTTCGTTCTATGCATGGTAAGTGTGTCCTGCCATTACTACACTTATATATTATATAAATCGACAAATCTGTTTTATTTGATCAATTATTAGTGTCGGAGATTAGTAGACGCATGAAAACTCTTGAAACATCTCCTCATTCTGAAGAATTACTTTTGGCACCGATGACAGATCATTATGTACCACAACGCACACCTTCTCGTGTAACTCCGCAACAACAACAATTAAACATCTATACAGAAAACGATGACAACAGTGTTCTATTATCACCTCAATCTTCCGAAACTTATGGATATCGAACTTCATCGAACAAAATGTCACGTAAAACTAGTCAAAGTTTATCACCGACACACAATAAATCAATAAATACTAAGCAATCACGCGAATCAATTCAATCTCGTAAAAACCTATCCATAAACGATGTTAGAGACATAAAGAGTACAACAAGTATTAATCAAAGTAATGATAAACAAAGTGTTCGAAAATATACTAGTCAAACTCCGATCTCATATCAAACACATGTGAGTAAACTTTTGTAATAATGCATCTAAATCAACTAAGTACATTGTATATAAGAATAGAAATGGTCAAATCTAAAGATTTCAATACAAATCGTATCTGATTAAGGCTACTCTTCTACCTTTTCGTGACACAAAATTTTTGTTTCTTTCGTAGTCAGTATAAAGTCTGCATTAGTATCTATTGACTCAGAACATTTTAAGATCCAAAAATCGTCTTTGAACATTAAGTAGATCAAGAAGCAATGAAATTCACATAACGGAAATAGCGAAAATTACATATTGTTTCGCGTTTTCTTCTAACTAACTTTTTCATGAAAAAAAGTGCAAAAACGCCACCATTTCTTTGGCTTAGTACGTCTGATCGAGCTGAAACTTTTCCATATATAATTTACACTGCTTAGGATGAGTACTTTTTTTTATTTTTAAAAACTATTCTTCCATTAGTTTTTGGTAAGTCTTACAGAAAAAGCTCTATTAAAAAAACCATGAATTTCTTAGGATATCTTCGATATATTAGCTGTTTTATTCGAAGGACATACAATAAAAAAATATCTATTCTAAACACTATCTCTTGTCTGTAAAAACAATTTTCAACTTAATCGAACATAACATTTCGGAGATATGGGAAAGCTATTTTTCGCTGTTATGATCCTACTGTCTCATAAAAGATAGTCTCTGAAAACTTTGAGTCGATGACAAATTTTACTTTACTCGTCAAGGTCTATCTACACTGAAAACTTCAAATTTTTCTGACGAATCATTTTTCAGGAAGTGTAGAAAGTGGACAAGTAAACCCTTAAATATTGCACTCATATAAGACAATGCTTTTAGATCATTGAACTCGAATCTACTGAATTCCATTACATAGTTTTCGATAATAAAAAGGATTATTTCTTGCATGTATGAAGTTTTGTCGAAAATGTTTTTTTTTCCTTACAGGTTGATAGTGACGATTCTTCAGTGACATCAACATCTTCTAATAAAATTAAGCATAATCCAAGTCTACTGAACAAAAGTTGGGAACAACGTTTAGTGTCACCTTTATCGATGACATCAGTACAACGCGACAATAGTATTCATCTTATCCAAAAAATCAAAAGTCCTATCTCAAATAAACAACTTTCAATCAATAAAACTCCAAATGATTTCAATTTTGATAATTATTCTAAATATCGAACGTCTTCTTCCACAAGTTTTCTTACTAAAATGAATGGTAAACTTCTAAAATAAAATTATTTACTAAATTTTTCAAAACAATACATTTCGTTCATATTATCTATTTTTTAGATGATATTTCTCTGTTGAATGTAATTGAACGACGAAAAAGTGCTGAAAGAGAAAATGAAACAATAAGTATTTTAGATAATAACAAAAAATATATGTCAACACCTAATTGTGTTTCAATAAATACAGAACGACAACGAAGTAGTAGTGCAACAAGTGTTAGTAATCATTCACCATTATTTCTGAAGACTAAAAAGCAGAACAACAACAAACATTTATCTCAATCTATAAAAAGAAAAAAAAGAAAGTGTTGTAGTCAACAAATAACTAATCGACCATTACAATCAAACAGACAAGGATATTTCAAGAAATTTATGAGTTGTTTTCGACGATCAGTTGTGAACCGAATCAATCGATTAGAATATCATAATAAATGATGATTTGAGCATTAAAAAAACATTACGTTGATAATCAAAATGTTAACTACTCAATAGGTTTGCAAATATATCTATCAAAATACTAATTGAATAAAACATAAATTTGATGATCATATTTATATTAGAGATTTCTTTTCAATGCAAAGCATTGACAGACAAGATATTATCGAAGACTAACAAAAAAAAAACGATGTTATATTTATTTCAATAAGTAAGCTACTTATCATAGATTCTTTGATGAGAAATAATTACTTGGTATATCATTCAAAAAACCAACTCGATCTTTAGATCATGATAAGTCAATATATATAGAACCTCTTTTATCACAAATGTTTTGAACACTTTTATTTTCTATCAAATGAAATTGCTGAGCTCAAGGTACTCGTGTACTGAATCAGTCGATAGCAAGGTTCTGTGCTGATTAATGACTCAGCAATCGAATACTTGTCAGACATCTAGCTAGTGTCTATTGTATTCTATGAAAAAACTTTTTTCACAAGTTAGTAGATAGCATATTTAGAAATATTTTATGGCCTAACGCTAAAAATCCATAAAGTTTCTCAAGGTATTGCCGTACTTTCAGATTCCTATGATGAACTGGTAGCAGGTTATCCTACACTCAGTAAATTCGCAAGGATTTAATTCATTTCAACAAAAATAAAATAAAATAAATAAAAGCACTTAGTGAACTATTTAGGAAGAACTAAATATGAGTTTATTTGAAAGCTACATAGAAAGAGAAATAGTAATATGAAAGAAAAACTAAAATGAATGTAAGAAGAAAAGAATATTTGTTTTTGATTGTGGAGTAAGAAAAAAAAAAGAGATAACTAATGTTCAGTCTAGTCAAATTTGATAAGTTCGACATCTGGCATTGGTTTACATGAAGGATGTGAATTATTTGGTGTCATTTGATCAATCATTGTGATACTAACTGCAGCTGATGGAACTCGTTGCCCATTGGTGTCATTTGATAATGGTGAATGAAGTCGATTATTATTAGAGTTCAATGCACTTGGTGATGTAATAGACGTACGTCGCGTTAGATGAGAACCATCATTTCTTGATTGTGGTGGACTTACTGTATGTTCATAATTTTGTTGTGATTGAACCGGAAATGAACTTACTTCATCAACACCACTCACAAGACGTTGACCTTTGTGTATCTTTTGATATTTAAAATAACCAAAAACTACACCAACAATAACAATAATACCACCAACAAGACCCACAATAAGACCAACAATTAATCCTATATTATTACTTCCTCCATTACTACTAGAAGCTGAACTTGATGAAGCAGTATATACTCGACTATTATAAGTCATTGAAGAAAGTCTTGCACCAGATACAGCACTAGGATTTGATAACATGTTACTAGTACCTGTTTGAAAAGCCTGAGCACTACTAGGATTATAAGTATTAAAACTCGCAGCACTGATGACACTACCTAAAAATTTCAATTCATTGATTAAACCAAAAAAACAAATACAATTATAATTCTTTAATTTAACAAACCTTTTCTTAGTATGATATCACTGCTAACAGGTAATTTCAGATTAATAGTATAATAATTATACAACGTTGCTCGGAACTGTTCAAGTTTACCCTCGCTTTCTAATGCATCATAATCAGCATCATATGTCATATATGATGTTGGAAAACCAGTAAAAACTTCAAGAATAGCTATAGAATATAAAATACAATATATAATTTAAAGCATTTTCTTTAACAAACAAAAACAAAACAAAATAAGAAATTATTATTTACTTGAATTCTCTTTAACTAAAATACCATTTGAGGTAAATTGAATTGAATATTGACCATTGGATGATGTTATTTGAAGTTTAATAATATACATTCCTTTGTCACTTATTGCCAAATCTGTAGCTGTTATTGTACCTGCTGTTGGATCAACGATAATTCTTGATGACGATGTTGTTATTAATGAACCAGTGCCTTGATATTGTAATGAAGTATAAAGTGAAACTATTGCTGACCATGTAAAAGTACTCCATTGAATATTTCCAATTTGAGTTTTCGATATTTTATCAACAAGTATAGTTGTCATATTGAATGTTTCATTTTTTGAAACAACAGGAACATTTATAAATTGTTTTGCATCTAATATAGCATCTGAAACTGCTACAGCTGATGAACCAATTACTAAGTTAACACTTGCAACAAATGAACTAGAAAAATAAAACAAAATAAAGAAAATCAATTTATTAATAGAACAAACAAAAAAGAAAAAGAAAATTAGTTTTTGTTTTATTTACCTGCTAACACCGCGTGGTGTAATAAAAGCAAATTCAAATCGATATGTACCAGTTGCGTTTACACCAAATGATGAAAATTGTGTTTGTCCATTTGAATAGTTAGCAACAGCACCAATAACACCAACACCTGTTGATCCAACAACCATAGCAACAACTTGCCATGGTTGATCATTTGAACCTAATTTTTCTATTACATTACCCGAAGCATCATAAGCAACAAGTACTGGTTGAAAATCACATCGACTTTGACAACGACATGATGATGGTGAAACTGTTAATTCTAATCGATCTATAGTACTTAATGATACTGTTGTTTGATTTCCTGGTTCTTGAACAGATAAACTTATTAAACTTGTAACATTTAAATCTGGATCATTTGCCCATGCTGTTTGTAATATACCTGATTGATAACGATTAATAATATCAGAATTAACATTTGAAATTAGTGTAGATGATGGATTATTATTGAGAGATAAACTTGATTGTGGTTCCTCACGTATTTCAACACGTAATTCAATTGTTGATGATAAAGATAATTGACGACGAATACGACTAATAAAGAAGATATAAATCAATCAATAAAAAATAAAAAAAATAAAAATCAATGATATAGAAATGCTTACGTCTCATTATTTGCTGAAACAATATCAACCCGTCGAATTTTATCAGTAGTAACACCAAGTAAAGCAGCTAAATTAGCAACTATATTAGTTGTAAAGAATGATGATGGTGTTGTAGGTGGTAAACCAAATGTTAGTACAATTAATTCAGATATTTTCAAATCAATAACAGTAGCACCATCAATAATAAATGATGCCATTCGTGTTGTTCTATATTGAATAAATAAATAAATAAATAAACATATATATTACATGTCTATATATCATTGAAGATCTTTTTTTTTACCTATTAAAGAAGTTTGAGCCAGCTTGTAATCCATATGTTAGACCATTTGGTTGATCAAGTAACATTAAAAACGAGAAATTTTGTGCACGATTTGTTGGTGATACATAAATATCATTAGCATAAACATCAACTTGTTGTAATGAATCATAGTAAAGAGCTAATGATGTTTTTATTGATGAATCAGCATTAAGTAATCGAAAACGTATATGATTTGGTGTTGTACTTGATAAATAAATATCATAATGATGTCTTGCTTCAACTAATGCCATAAATGTTGATATACGTTTTTGACATGTATAACCATTACACCAACCATGATCTTGTGGACCATTAATTAAATCAATAAAGCCATTATCAGACATAATAGCAACTGGTGAAAGACGTCGTGTTTCTGTATCAGAATCCATACTTTCAATAATTAACATTCGATAATCAGTTGTATTTCGACATAAATACATTTGATATGATGGTTGATATATACATGATGGTGAACGACCTATACCACGGCCAGGATATGAATTATTAATATTTACCATGGAACCAGTAAGATTAGCTAATGCAACTGATGGAATACGATAATCACCAACACCATGCGCTTGGTTACCTGATAAAAAGCAACATAAATAAATAATTAATCAAAAATAGAAACAAAATATTTCAATTACCCCAAAGATATTCAGCTTCAGAAAAGACAGTTGATGGCTGACCAAATAAAGTACCATCAGTATCAGTTAGTAAACTCTTTTTCAAACCATCACAATCCATATCTATATTAAATTAAATTAAATTAAATTATCAAAATTAAATTAAAAGAAGATGTCGACAAAACAAGTCTTCTTACCAACACAATCACTTGGATTAACAAGCCCTAGATTTGGTCGTCCATTGAAAATTATATTGGATGCTGATGTATTATAGGTTGACATTTGGTTTGTTATTACTGGATGTTGACCATCATCATTATTTTGTGAAACTTGAATAGCTATATCACGACGTGAACATACATCATTAAAAAATCCAAGTGTCACATTTGTTATTGTCATTACACCATCAACTATACATGCAAAAAAGTCATTTCTATAAATAGTTTCATAAAAACTGATTAACTTACTGCATGGATAAGCACCAATACTTGTCCACGGATGACGTGGTATCATATTATCACGTGAAAAATATGGAAATGATATGCCTGTTCGACCACCTGGATTTCCCGATGATGATGTTGCAGATACCTTAGGAATAGCTTTTGAACCAAATTGCTCACTAAGTGTAGTTGTGTCTGGAACATCACTACAATCGTTTGGTGTTATGGCACCAGCAACTATTGAATTACGAATTTTAATTGAATTGTTACCGAATTCATGTGATGCAGCTAAAAAAGAATTAAATAAATTAAAACTCTACGGTTTTATTTTTTGAAATAAAACTACCTGTAGGACCGATGACAAATGTAAAAATACCAACACTACTATCAGCTATTTGGCAAGAATCAACAATAATATTGTGTGGTGTATTGAGGTATAAACCATAGTACCATGTTTTATACGTTCTATTAGATAAGAAGAAAAATATATGAGAAATATATCAGCCAATATCATAAACATACTTGAAACCCTTGAACAAAACACAACCTATAATAATATTAGTTAAATAATGAATTCAATATTACACTATTTCAAATCACTTACTTGTATCATATTTAAAGCCTGTGTCAGTAGGCCAAATATTAATACCAGACATAGCTGAATGAGCTTCATTATTATCATAATCATTACTTATATTAGTTGGTAAAACAGTTCCTGGACATGCATTTCC